TAAAAGATTTAACAGCATAATCTGTATGGTTCATTTATGTGTATATATACACAGAACTGTCACAAAAATTAATTATAAATTAGGTACAAAAAACCCTCAATAATATCAATAAAGTAGAAATAAGGCAGACAGTTATTGATCAAAAATGTGAAAACCAGAAATTAATAAGTAAAATCAGAAAGCAAAAATATGTTCTTTCACCTGCAAATGCAAAAACTATACGATAAACCAATTCTTGAGTAGAGGGGATGTCATGATTTTTTTTACTTTGACTTTAAATTTTTAAATTTTGAATATACAACATTATATTAGTTTCAGGTGTACAGTACAGTAATTCACCATTTATATGATCACCACACTAAGTTTAGTACTTTGGAAACTTATTACAACATGACTGACTGTATTTCTCTTTACTGTTTTTACCACCCCTCACGCCCTATACACACCTGCCTGCCCTGGCAATCATCCCTTTGGTCTCTGAGTCTGTTTTTGTTTTGTTTTGTTTTTTCCTTCCCTCCCTCCCTCCCTTTCTTCCTTCCTTCCTTCCTTTCTCTTTAGATTTCACATATATAACAGTCTATTTTAAGCTGATAGGTGTTTAAGTTCAAATGTATTCAGAAAGCACTACATTTTTACTCCCCCTTCCACTCTTTATGTTTTGGACATCATGTTTTCTTGTTTTCTGTATCCCCTGACTATTTATTGTAGTTATAATTTTGCAACTTTGTCTTTTAATAATCATATTAGCTTTTTAAGTGGTTGGTTGACTATGTTTATTATATATTTGCCTGTACCAGTGAGAATTTTTCTTTCCTGTGTTTTCTTATTTCCAGTTATAACCTCTCTTTCCTGCAAAAGGCAACCCTTTAACATTTCTTGTAAAGTTGGTTTAGTGGTTGTGAACTCTAGTTTTTTGCTTGCCTGTGAAACTCTGCCTCCTTCAATTCTGAATGATAGCCTTAACAGATACAGTATTCTGGGCCATTGGTTCCTTTCTTTTATTTATTTATTTATTTTTAAATTATATTTTATTGATTATGCTATAACAGTTGTCCTGATTGTTCTCCCTTTGTTCCCCCTCGCCTGACACACTTCCTCAGGCAATCCCCATACCATTGTTTGTGTCCATGGGTGACAAATACAAGTTCTTTGCCTTCTCCATTTCCTAATCTGTAATTTACATCCCCATGGCTATTCTGTAACTACCTATTTGTACTTCTTAATCACCTCACCTCTTCACCCATCCCCCATAGTCCCCTCCCAGCTGGCAACCATCAAAATGCTCTCTGTATCCATGAATCTGTCTCTGTCCTTCTTATCTGCTTAGTTTGTTTTTTGGATTCAATTGTTGATAGATATATATTTATTATCATTTTGTTGTTCATAGTTTTCATCTTTTTTTCTTAAATAAGTCCCTTTAACATTTCATAAAATAATAATTTGGTGATGATGAACTCCTTTAGTTTTTTCTTGTCTGGGGAGCTCTTGCCCTTTGATTCTAAATGATGGTTTTTCTAGGTAGAACAGTTTTGGCTCTAGGTCCCTGCTTTTCATGACTTGGAATATTTCTTGCCAGTCCCTTCTAGCCTGCAAAGGTCTTTTGAGAAATCAGCTGACAGTCTTATGGGAACTTCCCTGTAGGTAACTAAATTCCTTTTTCTTGCTGCTTTTAAGATTCTCTTTTTATGTTTAACCTTTGGCATTTTAATTATGATGTGTCTTTGTTTGGACCTCTTTGGATACAAGTTCTTTGGGATTCTGCGAGTTTCCTTGACTTCTATGTCTATTTCCTTCACCAAATTAGGGAAGTTTTCTTTCAGTATTTTTTTCAAATAAACTTTCAATTTCTTGCTCTTCCTCTTCTCCTTCTGGCATCCCTATGATTCAGATGTTGGTGTGTTTGGGGATGTCTCAGAGGCTCCTTGTTTTTTTGTTTTTTTGAGTTTTTTTAATTCTTTTTTCTTCTTGCTGTTCTGGTAGAGTGCTTATGTCTTCCTTATGTTCCGAATCATTGACTTGAATCCTGGCTTCATGCCCTCTACTGTTGCTTCCCTATAGATTTTTCTTACTTTACTTTGTGTAACCTTCATTTCTTTCTGGGTCTTTTTTATGTTGTTGTCGTACCCAATGAGTTCTTTGAGCATCCTGATCAGCACTGTTCTAAACTCTGCATCTGATGGGTTGGTTATCTCTGTTTTATTTAGTTATTTTTCTGGGGTTTTCTTCTGTTTTTTCATTTGGGTCATATTTCTTTGTCTCTTCAATTTGGCAGCCTCCCTGTGTTTGTTTCTGTGTATTAGGTAAAGCTGCTTTGACTTTCTTAGTAGTGTGGCCTAGTGTAGAAAAGGCACCTCTAAATTTTGTTTGGCAGGGCCGTAGGTAATTGCCAGAGCAGGGCATCCCACTTCACCACTTTGTGACTCTTTGTGGGGGGAGAGCTTGGAGAGAGGACAGTGCCACTGCCTGGCTTCTAGAGGTTTGCCCAGCACTCTCCCTGTTTCCAGTCACTTCACTTACTCCCCGTATACCACTGGTGCCCTTCCAGCTGTTGCCCTGGTGCTGAATCCCAGGTCTGCATATGTTCTAAGTCCATGTGGACCCTTTAAGCAGAGTTTCCTGAAAATCTGGCAGTTTCTTCTGCCTCCCACCCCAACTGGTTTTTACAGCCAGAAGTTACGGGGATTTATCTTCCTGGCACTGGAACCCTGGACTATGCAGTCTGGTCTGGGGCTGGAATTGCTGGCTCCCAAGGTATTCCTGGCTCCCAAGGTATGCCTTCTGATTTTTATCCACCACATGTGAATGTGGGACTGCCTGTTCCACTGCCGCCGCCTCTTCATGTCACACCACATCTCCATGCCTCTCTGCCCATCTCCACCCCTCCTACCCATGTGGATGAATGTGGCTTCTTTAAACCCTTGGTTGTTGGAATTTTGTACAGCTTGACCTTTTGATGGTTCTGGGTGTAATTTGTTTTGAGGTCTAAATATAATCCTTTCTGTGGTTGCTTGAGGAGGCGAAGCATGTTTATCTATGACTTCATGCTGACCAGAAATCCCAAATTTGCTTTCTGCCCCTTTCTCTCACTGTTCTCCTTCTGGAATCCCTGTAATGTGGATGTTAGAGCATTTAATGTTGTCGGAGAGGCTTTTATACCCAAACTATCCTCATTTTTTTTTCAACTTTTTTTTAAAGATTTTATTTATTTATTTTTAGAGAGGGAAGGGAGGGAGAAAGAGAGAGAAACATCAATATAAGGTTGCTGAGGGCCATGGCCTGCAACCCAGGCATGTGCCCTGACTGGGAATCGAACCTGCAATGCTTTGGTTCGCAGTCCACGCTCAATCCACTGAGCTACGCCAGCCAGGGCTGCTCATTTTTTAAAATTATTTTTTCATTTTGCTCTTCTGATTGGGTGATTTTCACTATTCTTTCTTCCAGGTTGCTAATCTATTCTTTCTTACTAATCTGATTTCAGTTCCTTTTAATGTATTCTTTATCTCTCACTGGTTCTCTATTACATTCTCTAACCCTTTATTGAAGTGCTCTCTGAGTTTCTTCATTCTACTCTCAAGTTTGTTGAGCATCCTTATGACCATGTCTTTGAATTCTGTATTAGGCAAATGAGTTATCTCCATTTCATTAGAGTTTTTCTCTAAATTTGTTTTTAACTGTTCCTTCATCTGGGACAGATTCTTTTATCTCCCACTTTTTTTGACTTTCTGTGTTTTTTCCTGTGAGTTAGATGACATAGCTTTTTCTCCGAATCTGTGTGCCAGATGTTTTTGGGGGGCAGCTCTAGTCAGGACGGGCATATGCAGTGCCTGGTAGCCAGAAAGGGTGGATTCTGGCAGGGCAGCCTGGTGTGTGAGTACTTCCTTGCCCTTCTACAATGGGCAGGGCTGTCCAGTGTGGGTTGTGCTGTTCAATACATGTGTAGTGTGCCCTGTTGCTTTAATTGTTTCTTGCCTGAACCTGATCTGGGCAGGGCTACTCTGAGTGGATGTGTTGCAGTGTCCCACTGTCTCCCACTTCTCTGGGCAGGGCAGTGCTACGTGCGCGTGCAGGAGCTCCCTGCTGTTTTCACCCTTTCTCTCAATGGGACAGCCTTGCATACGGGTACTATAGCATTTGGCTGGTTTCACACACTGAGCAAGGGGTGTCGTGCATGCATGTGCAGCATGGTACGCGCATACCACAGCACCTGCCACACCCACTGGATTCATCCCCAGGTGAAGGGGCCCCATGTATGTGCACTGTGGTGCTAACCTGTTCCTGCTGGATCTGGTTCTCAGAGGGGTGGCTGGAGATGTGCTACAACAGCCCTGCAGATTGACCAGAGAATGTGGATGGAGCTCCCGCCCACTACCCACATGCAAAGGAACTGTAAACAGTGTTCCTCCATTCCTGGACAATTCCCTCCGCTCCTAGAGAGCTCTCCGAGTTCCCCAACCTTCTCTATGCAGTCTTTCTCTTTGTTTGTTTGTTTGTTTGTTTGTTTGCTTGCTTGTTTTGGTGCAGAAGCTGTTCAGTTGGTTCTTAGTGTCTTACAGAAGGAATTGCTCTGCAGAAAGGTGTAAATTTAATGTGTCCTGCAAGAGAGAGTGAGCTCAGGGCCTCCTACTCCACAGTCTTGGACTCACCTCCAGAATGTCAGAACTTCCAAGGAGAATTGAATCTACGTAAACTATAATTCATAGTTTATGTAACAAGTTTTAGAACTGCTCAGAGGGAAATTCATAACCTTAAATACTATGCAATAGAAATGTAAGAAAATAAATGAATTAGCCTTTTATCTCAGTCATTTCTTTGCCTGTAGAGTATGACAAATCTTGCCAAGTCCTTCTCTTTTAAGTTTATTTATTGCATATAAAAGTAATTTATAGCATGATATAAATTAGAAAAGCCTGATGAGGTGGGTAGGGAGGGCATCCAGGAGGTTATCCACCTAGGCTGCAAGCAGCCTCCCCTCACTCACAGAGTCCCTCCTCCTCCACCAGGGGTACAAGAAGCTGGCTGCACTGAAGGTAAACGACATTAGTCACTGTCTGACAGAACAGCAGAAGGACTTTGCTAACAAAACAGCTCAGTTCCAGCAGGAGATGAGGCACCTCCACCGGCTGCTGCAGGACAAGCAGGATGTCCTGGATGAGGCTTTGCAGCAGAAGAGGTAGGGCTGCCCCAGTCCTATATCATGTGTTTATTTTTTGAAGGTTTGGTAGAATTTTCCAATTAAACCCTTTAGATCTATTTTGTTTATTTGATTGCTTACTTTTGTTTCTGCACTTTAGTTTTATCTGCATTTAATGTTGGTCTTGATTTTTATTTGCTCCTTATTTTGTTTTCTTTTTAAAATTTCCCCCCAGCAGTTAGCATGTAACATTGTGTCAGTTTAAGGTGCACAGTGTGATGACTTGATGCGTGTGTACGTGCAGAGTAATCACCACAGTTGAGTTAACACAGCCTTCCCCTCACACAGTCACACTGTTGGAGGTGGTACATGGAGAACACTTAAGATCTACTCTCTTACCCACTTCCTTGTGCACAACACAGTGTTGTTAACTACAGTCACCATGCTGCACGTTATATCCCAATTCCTTGTCGTCTGTAATCCCTCCTTGATCCCTTTGATACTTGGGTTTCACTCGATTCTGTTGGAAAATATTATTGGGTTAGCCTAAAAGCTCACTTAGTTTTCCCTGTAGGATGGCTAGAGCAGTCCTTAATTGTCTTTGACTTCATTCAGAACAGTCCTGTTAGATTGCGTTGTGACAGCTGTCATATCAGCGCACGCTTTTTAAAAACCTTTCGAAACTGGTGAGTTTTTGTGTAGCTGCTTTTTTAAATATATTTTATTGATTATGCTATTACAGTTGTCCCATTTCCCCCCTTCTCTCCCCTCCACCCTGTACTCCCTCTCCCACCCACATTCCCCCCCTTTAGTTCATGTCCATGTGTCATACTTATGAGTTCTTTAGCTTCTACATTTCCCATACTATTCTTGCCCTCCCCCTATCTATTTTCAACCTACATTCTATGCTACTTATTCTCTATACCTTTTCCCCCCTCTCTCCTCCTCCCACCCCCCTGTTGCTAACCCTCCATGTGACCTCCATTTCTCTGATTCTGTTCATGTTCTACTTGTTTGCTTAGTTTCTTTTGGTTTTGCTTTAGGTGTGGTTGTTAATAAGTGTGAGTTTGCTGTCCTTTTACTATACATGTTTTTTCTTTATCTTCTTTTCTTAGATAAGTCCCTTTAGAATTTCATAAAATAAGGGCTTGATGATGATGAAATCCTTTAACTTGACCTTATCTGAGAAGCATTTTATCTGCCCTTCCATTCTAAATGAGAGCTTTGCTGGATAGAGCAATCTGGGATGTAGGTCCTTGTCTTTCATGACTTGGAATATTTCTTTCCAGCCCCTTCTTGCCTGTAAGGTCTCTTTTGAGAAATCGGCTGACAGTCTGATGGGAACTCCTTTGTAGGTTACTGTCCCCTTATCTCTTGCTGCTTCTAGGATTCTCTCCTTCGTTTTTACCTTGGCTAATGTAATTATGATGTGCCTTGGTGTGTTTCTTCTTGGGTCCAACTTCTTTGGGGCTCTCTGAGCTTCCTGGATTTCTTGGAAGACTATTTCTTTTGCCAGATTGGGGAAGTTCTCCTTTATTATTTGTTCAAATAGGTGCTCAATTTGTTGCTTTTCCCCTTCCCCTTCTGGTACCCCTATAATTCAGATGTTGGAACGTTTAAAGATGTCCTGGATGCTCTTAGCTTCTCCTCATTTTTTTAAATTCTTATTTCATCATGCTTTCCTACTTGGTTGATTCTATCTTCCTTCTGGTCCACTGTATTGTTTTGAGACCCAGTTTCCTTCCCTTTACTATTGGCTCTCCTCCGTGTATCTTCCTGCATCTCTTTTATGGTAACCTGCATTTTTTCATGTAATTTGCACCCAAAATCAACCAATTCTGTGAGCTTTCTGATCACCAGTGTTTTGAACTGTGCATCTGATAGGCTGGCTATTTCTTGGTCGCTCAAAAGGATGAGTTCTGGGGCACTGATTTGTTCTTCTATTTGAGCCATCGCACTCTCTTTTTTTTTTGGTCTGGTCACTCTTGTTACGGTGAGGGGCGGAGCCTTAGGTGTTCACCGAGGCTGGGCACCCCAGTCGCTAGATTGTGACGTTATATGTGGGGGCGGGAGCGGGGACAGGGGCGGGAGGGAACAATAGCGGTAGTTCCGTTCTCCTGGGATCTCAGTCCCTTCTCTGGGATCCTGGGCTGTGAGCTCTGCCGTGGTCCACAATCGCCGCCTCACTGGGTCCACCAGCCACTGCTTGCGTACTCAGGGTCCACTGCTTCAATCTTGCGCGCCAGATGGCTTTCGTGCCGGGTGGCTTTCACACCGATTTCGTGCCAAGTTTTCCCTGACCTCTGCGCGCCACCAACCCGCACCCGCCCAGCTCGTCCTCTCCTACCAGTTTGGATGTACAGATCTACTTCAACTTCTTGGCTGTCCGACTTCCATTCAGACAAATCCTCTATCAGTCTGAGTGTTATTCTGACTGTAAATTGTTGTTGTTCTAATCTTGGTTCTGCGAGAAGGTACGGTGCGTCCACCTATTCCTCCATCTTGCTGGAAATTGTGTAGCTGTTTTAATATTGAAGATGGATGAAAATACGCAACTGAAATGCACAAAAAAGATTTTTGCAGCATATGGAAAAGGTGCTGAGACTGATGGAACATATTAAGAGTGATTGTGAAGTTTCTCGGTGCTATTGACATTTTGGCCAAATAATTCTTTGCTGTGGGGCTGTCTTCTGCCCCACATAAACCACTGGAAGATGTTTAGCAGCACCCCTGGCCTCTACCCATGAGAAGTCGATGATAGTAGGAGATAGATGACATACTCAGAATATCCAAATCAATAAAACTATTGATGAAGATGAAAATGTGTATCTTATGTAATAGAAAAAATTAAAGAAACTTTTTGGCCAACCTAATATTAACTTTGATTAAATGTTTTATTTCTTTATTTGTTTTCACCCCCGAAAACATTAAAATCTCCCTTTTTGGAAGACCATAATCTTAGACCAGAGATGCATTGTGTTCTCTGTGGAAATAAGGTACTGTATCAGTTATACCTTTATTCTTTAAACTTGTGACAGAGGAGATATTGCCAGTGTATTAAAACATTGGGTAATATCACATGTTCTGTGAAGGTGAATTTAGTGGTCCTTCACACTGTAAGTCCGCCTCTTCATGCTGGCTGCATTGCCTTTGACAGGCTGGAATACAGACTGATGCTGCAAAGGAATAATAGTGATGCCCGGATGTGCTTCCTTCGGACCGTAGTAGGATCCATGTACCTGATGTCATGAAGAATGTAGTTGTCTGTTTTCCTTCCACCAGACGTTTCTCCACGTCAGGGAAAATGAGTTCTTAGTAATGTAACGAGGTTTCTGTAGTCACAGAAGTTCTTACCACTGTGAATAGTCACTTTGTAAAGAGTTGAGCTGATACCAAGTTTCTTGCCAGACAGGAGGTTTAGAATTGCATTAATAGAATGGGACTTCATTTTTCACTTTCTCTGTATTCCATTTTTTGCCCTTTAATTGTTTAAAAGTTATATAGTCTATTTTTGTTCTTTAAGTGGCTATCCTTAAAATTTCACCATGAATATTTAGCATTAAAAATATAAATCAGCATCTCTACATTTCTCCCCCAAGTGCAAGATCTAATGCTTTACACTAATTGTTTCCCCCTCAGTTTATATGCTGTGATCTAGTGTCACTGGATAAAAGTACGTGAAGAGGACGAGGAAGATGTATTTTGTCATTATTTGTAGTCACCCTGAATTAAATGTTACTAATTTTTATATAGTAGTTTGTTTTGCTTTACCTACAGTTTCTTTGCTTGCTAATTATTAAAAATAAGACAACAGGCCCAAAATGGAGTTGCTTATGTTAAACCCCATGTCACCAAACCAAGACTGAATTTACAGTTTCGTCCCTCCCAGACACAGAGTCTTACACCAGTCAGACAGGAAGCACCAGGACTGCACTGATCACGCCCTTGACCTGATGGGCCCCTTCCATCAAGGAGAGTAGCCTTGCAATAACCAGCCCGCACTCCTCCCTCATTTCACTTCCTTGTTTCTGCTCTCTTCTGCCTATAACTGCCTCTGTACAGCTCTTCAGAGTCCTTTCTGTCTGCTAGATTGCCTGCTGCCCAGTTCAAATTGATTTTTGTTCACAAAAACCTCAAAATCTTCCTAAGACTCAATTTATCTTTTAACATTTTTTCTCAGACCTTATTTCTCAGATCAGTTTCCTTGTTCCTAAACTACATTCTTTAGAAGTTTCTTTAGTGATAGTTAATTGGTAGTAAGCTTTCTTAGTTTTTGTTTATTTGGAAACACTGGCTTTTGACTCCATTCTTGTAAAACTGTTTTTACTGGGTATAAAATTGTACCTTGACAGGCTTTTTCTCTCAACGTAGTCCATTGTCTTCTCTGTTTCATTTTCCTGTTATGTCTTATAATTTTTAAAAAATGGTCTACCTTTTCTCTTGCCTTTTTAAAATTTTTTAAGTATATTTTATTGATTATGCTGTTACAGTTGTCCCTTTTTCCCCCTTTATTCCTCTCCACCCAGCACCCCCTTCCCTTCCACACTCCCTGCCCCCACCCCTTAGTTCATGTCCATGGGTCATACATGTAAGTTCTTTGGCTTCTCCATTTCCCATACCATTCTCAACCTCCCCCTGTCTATTTTGTATCTACCATCTATGCTTCTTATTCTTTGTACCTTTTCCCCCATTTTCCCCCCTCCCCTTCAACACTGATAATCTTCCTTGTGATCTCCATTTCTGTGATTCTGTTCCTGTTCTAGTTGTTTGCTTAGTTTTTGGTTTTGCTTTTTAGGTTCAGTTGTTGATAGTTGTGAGTTTGTTGTCCTTTTACTGTTTATAGTTTTTTATCTTCTTTTTCTTAGATAAGTCCCTTTAACATTTCATATAATAATGGCTTGGTGATGATGAACTCCTTTAACTTGACCTTATCTGAGAAGCACTTTATCTGTCCTTCCATTCTAAATGAAAGCTTTGCTGGGTAGAGTGATCTTGGATGTAGGTCCTTGCCTTTCATGACTTTGAATACTTCTTTCCAGCCCCTTGTACATTTTTAAAATCATTTTGTTCATAGTTATTTTATGTTCTGCATATGGCAATTCCAATGTGTGAAATTTGGGAGAGATTTAATCTGTTTTGTTTTTTTTTTTAACTTTTGCCGTATGCGGTTTGTTTTCTTCTGTATATGGCCATTATGTTTTACTCTGAAAACATATGTGGTTGAATTTAACCTGCGGAATCCTGATTGTCTGGATTGAGGATGTTTTTCTTCAGAGATTTACATTTGCTTTTCTTTGGTACCAAAAAAAAACTATTTGCAACCTGGAGCCACTTTTATTTTATTAATAGTTTTTTAAAGACTTTGTTTATTTTCATAGGGGAAGGGAGGGAGAAACAGAGAGAAATGTCAATGTGTAGTTGCCTCTCCCACACCCCCAACTGGGGGACCTGGCCCACAAGCCAGGCATGTGCCCTGACTAGGAATCGAACTGGTGACCCTATGGTTCACACGCTTGCACTCAATCTACTGAGCCACACCAGTCAGGGCCAGGGCATACTTTTATTAATAGTTTTTAAAATAGACTATAGTAATGCTTTTGTAAAAAATTACAAAAGGGTCTTTCATGCAGTGATGTCAGCAGCATGGCAGCATGAGAGGTTGTCCCAGTCTCACCCCTTGAAGTTACAGTTCAACCCAGCATTCCCTTTTCAACACACAGACATGTCTGAGACATCACACAGAGACCCCTGAAGGAGGGAGCATCTGAGCGAACAGCAGAGACGACCAGGCAGGGAGGAGGACAGAGACAGAGCCACACACAGGCTGGCTGCAGCCTCAGCGAGCACGAGAGCGGGAAAGAGCAGGGGTGCAGCCCGCACTGGGCACACCACACCCGAGAGGCAGAACCAGCAGTCGGGCCTGGGTGGCTAGCACACGCTGAGGCTGGGCCCAGTGTCGGGAGCAGAGAAATGGTGCAAAAAGATCACAGCACTCCAGCCTTGAACAAAGGATTCCACACACAGATCATCACCCAACCCATACCTCTGTGGCCCCCCAGGCAACAAAATCTTCTCTCAACATATCACAGAAGGTCCAGAAAAAACTTTGCAGCCTAAGTGGTCTGTATTCATTGCAGCAAAAGCCACGAGGAAGAGCAGAACCGCAGACCTGCTTGCTTCACCTTTCCCCCCTCATCCTGGCACAGCCCCATAATGGCCTTTGGGTCAACTCAGAGCAGCCCTGCAGTGGATTCTGGCTACAGGAAGGTGGCGCCAGGATCACAGAAAACTGGAGAGTCAATACTTCCCACCTCCTTTTATGAGACCATCATGACCCTGAACCCAAACCTGGCAAGGACAACATACACAGAAAGGAAAATTGCAGACCAATAATTCTGATGAATACAGATGCAAAAATCTTAATCGAAATACTAGCAAATCAAATGCAACAATACATTTAAAAAATAATGCACCACGATCGAGTGGGGTTCATTCCAGGGGCACAAGGGTGGGTCAGCACATGGCTGATCCAGTGTGGTGCACCACGTTCAGAAGATGGCGGAAGAAAGTCACGTGAGCATATTGATAGATACTGAAACATGCATCTAATAAGATACTACATTCATTTGAGATTGAAATACAACGAGTATAAAGTAACTCAACATAACAAAGGTCATACATGACGAACCCTCAGCTAATACACTGAATGGTGAAAAACCGAAAGCTTTTCCTCTAAGATCAGCAATAAGACGGTAATGTCCACGCTCCCCAGTGATTCAACATAGTACTGGAATCATTGCCAGAGCAGCCAAGCAGAGAAAGAAATAAAAGGCATACAGATTAGGAAGGAAGGAGTAAAATCATCACTTTCCACAGATGACATAGTTTTTTACGTAGAAAACCCTAAAGACTCCACCAGAAAGCTATTAGAAACAACAACAACAAAAAAAAAAACAGTAAAATTGCGGGATACAAAGTCAATGTACAAAAATTCATTACAGCCCTGGCTGGTGTGGCTCAGTGGACTGAGTGCCCTCCTGCAAACCAAAGGGTCTCCAGTTCACTTCCTGACCAGGCACATCCCTGGGTTGCTGGCCAGGTCCCCAGTAGGAGGCATGTGAGAGGCAACCACACATTGATGTTTCTCTCCCTCTCTTTCTTCCTCCCTTACCCTTCCTATAAAAATAAATAAGTAAAACCTTTTTAAAAAATTCATTGCATTCCTATATACTAACAAGGAAATTTCAGAAAAAGAAATGGCGGGGCGGGGAGGCAGGGGGAACAGTTTCATTTGCAATTGCGAAAAGAATAAAATTCCTAGAAGTAAACTTAATAAAGGATGTGAAAGGCCTATACACTGGAAAAAACACAAAAGGACTTTTAAAATATCCACAATGCCATTATTACATTTCTAATATACAACTTACTCATAGCATACATCTTTCTGGACCACATTCTGGGTGGTTCTCTCTGCTCAGCATCCCAATTCACTAATTCTCTCTTTGGTTGTGTCCAATGTACTGTTTAACCCATCCATTGGGGTTTTTTTTTCCCTAATTGTCTCAAAAATGGCTTGTTACTCTTGGTACACTCCAGTCAGGGCCTGGGGGTGCCCAGTCCTGGAGGACAGTACAGATTCAGACTCCAAATGCGTGTGAGAACAGGAGAGTCTTTGCCTCACAGGGTGGGTTTCTTTTGAAGGCGGGCACGTTTTCCTCCAAACCATTCGCAAGTCCTCCAGGTGCCCCCACTTTCCTCCGCAGTGCTGGAACACATAGTGCAGAGCATGTCTGGGGAGAAGAGGAGAAACAGGGCCATGAGAGGGTTTGGGGGTTTTGTCACCCCATTTTCATGCGCCTGCGACCTCGTCTTTATTCCATAGAAAGCGGGGTCCCCGGCGTGGGCCTTTGTCCTCAGAGCACACCGACATCTTGTTTCCCCACCTCTGCGGCTCCAGTTTAATCCGCGTTTCTCTCCCACTTACAGATTCCCTGTGCTTCGTGTTGAGTTTAGCCTGACATTTACCATGACTGCTGTGACTTGTCAATCATCTAGGCATTTCTTGTGCTAGAAAACAGAAGTCTGGGGTTTTTTTTGGCATGGTATACTCAAATGGTACCCAGTACTCAGTGGGCTTCCTGGGACTTGGAAGGAAGCAACAGTTCACGAGAAAAGTAAATACTGGCCCGGCAGGTGTGCTTCTGTCGGTCAGGCATCCTCCTGCAAACTGAGAGGTCACCACTTCCATTCGCAGTCAGCCACATGCCTGGGTTGTGGGTTCGGTTCCTAGTCAGGGCACATGCACAACACAACCAACTGATGTTTCTCTCCTGCATCAATGTTTCTCTCCCTGTCTTTCTCCCTCCCTTCCCCTCTCTGTAGAATTAATAAAAAAGAAAGACAAATTTAAAGGAAAGAAAAGTGAATACTGAACAGTGGGCATGTCACTGGCCTCCCTAAATCTTCAAGCAGCAGTGCACCTGGTAACCCAGTGTCTGTCAGTTCCACAGCCATCTGGCGGTGTTAGGGGTGGAGCCGGCTTCCCAGTGCTGCTGCCCTCCACAGGGCCTGCTCCTCCACCCGACGTGAAGCGTACTGTTCTTCCCCCTGTGGCCCCCATGGGGCTCATCCTCCTGTGAAGTGGGGGTTGGCCTCCTGGTCTGTCGCCCAGTGGACCATGGCCACTTGAGGACGTGGACGCCTTGGTCTGCCCTTTCCTCGCGGCATGTGCGGTGCCGGTCACAGGGTCCTGCCGCAGGAAGACTGCCTTGCTGCTCTTCCCTTTTCTCATGGGCCTGCCTTCCCTCTGGGTGCTCACCCTCCCGGCATATGGTCTGAGCAGCCTTCTCCCTGTCAGTTGTGAGCCCCACTCCCCTGTGGTTCCCTCCTTACCCCTCACTAAATCTTTGTGTCTGGGCCCCTAGGTGTCCCTATGGGTGGGTGTCTGTGAAAGGTGCCTGAGTGTTGGCCAGGTCACAGTGGGGACAAGAAGAAGGGACAGAGGAGCAGCCTAGGGGACCCCTGCCACATGGGTGCCCTTGGCTGGGCCATTGTGCTATATAGGTCAACACCTTAAGTTATTGTGTTTTATTTCATTTTTATGCGTGATGATTCTACAGAGAAACAAAGGACATGTGTACTGATCCCAAAATAAAGGAAAAGGCAACATGTAGAGAGGAAAAGCAAGGTTTCAGCCTGTGCCTTTGTATTTCCAGGGGACTCCTGTGCTTCATTCGACACTGGCTCTTTGCTTTACTAAAGGGGTGTCCAGCCTGCAGCCTGCAGGCCACGTGCAGCCTCACACAAAATCGAAAATTTACTTAAAACCTTTTTTTTGCTCATCAGTTTTCATTCGAGTTTGTGTATCTAATCTGTGGCCCAGAGATGCCAAAGGATTGGACAACCCTGCGCCCGATGGGCTCTGTTCTCTGGTATAAAGCACACGTCCATCTGAGTTCTTGCTGCTTTAGGATTTGTAAGGCTCTATAAGTATTGTTTAATTGTGCTATTTTAAAATTTTTCCTTCATTTTGTTTATTTCTGTCAGAGAAATGGAAGGGGAGCTTGAAGTTGTTTGGGAGTCTACCTCCAAGGAAAACCAAAGAATCCGAGAACTTCTGCAAGCCACCCTGGAGAGGACCGGCGTGTGGGACCACACCAGAAGAATCGAGGACCCCTGCCTCGGCAGCGTCTCTCAGAGAGACGTGCTAGTTGGCTGCAGCTTCAGCTACTGCGACCTGAAGCCGCCTCCCACCGCCCGCCAGAGTCTGTGGGAGCCCCTGGACTAGGGCTCCTCAGCCTGAATGGTCTGCCTTCCGGGGACAAGGAAGGGCAGATCCCCACCTAACACTGCTGCGTTATTTCTCCTCAGGGCAAGGAAGAAATAAACCATCTCAGAAATTTAATCTGTCTTTATACCTTTTGCTTTATTTTAACAATGTGCTACTACATGATGTCTCAGCCAGTGCATAGCTTCAGGCCATGTTGCCCTGGAGACCCATTGCTCAGGTAACAGGAGACCTGACCAACTGTCCTGTCTCTGGGCTCCTATGAAGCACCAGAGGGAGTGGCCCGACAGGACGGAGCACTCAGCCTGTGTGCTGGCTGAGTTTGATCGGAGAAGCCCATCTGTGGAAGCCACAGGGTGATGTCTGTGGATTGGCTCTGAGTGTCTTTTTTTGCTGTTTGGTAGGAGACAGGGTGCTCGTACACAAGTTCCAGGATGGTGCACAAACCCTGTTCTGCCGTCTCCCTGAACCTCTCTATCCTCCTGGGAAGGAAAATTTTCAAGGGTGACATCATTTCCCGCCCCCTTTGAGAGCCCCAACTCTGAACACCAAGGTGGGGGTCCCTGCCCACCGCCCACCAAGACGGATGCCAGGGTCCATGGTTCTGCCCCACTCTGTGCCCCTTCCTCAGTGGGCCATCCCAGCCACTCAGGGCCATTCACTGGAACCGCCTGACGAGTGTGCCAGCTAGCTGGGGCTGCATGTCCCAACACACTGGAGGAACCCAGGGACGCAGGCTACAGAGCACCCTCAACAGCAGTAAGGAAGGGGAGAACCCTGGAACACATTTTATAAACCACACCTCTGCCCCCTTCCCCCAAGCTGAGGCCTGCAGTGTTTCAGGTGAACAAGTGGCCCTTGTGTGGGTCCTTGGTGGTGTGTGAAAATTAGGTGTGAGCTCTCTGATTGTTGGATGGAGTGTTGAGATAAAATAGCATAGTTCTTTTACATTTTGTTAAATTTGTTCAACAGTTAAACAGTTGTACTTTGTTATCATTTTCCAGGGGTAGAAAGACTCACCAGGATTTAAAACTATGTATCAATCATCTCCCTAGGAGATGACTTAGCAAATAACTTTGTTGTTTCACGGGAATTTGTGCCAACCACCCAACAATCTGCACACGGGTTGGGAGGTAGCAGCCGCCCCTCGGTCCCTCATCTCCAGACCTGTGCCCAGAGGGTGGCTGGTCTGTTGGAGCACGGCAGGGGTGACCTCGCCCAGAGACCCCTTTTCGTCGTCCCTTGTCCTGCCTCCTAAGAGATCATTTTACTCTTGAGAAGTGAACATTTTCACATTTCTGCTTTAAGTTGATTACACATTGTAAATGTCCTTTGCAAGTTCAGTGAACCCGGCCCACACAGCCAGGCATGGGTGCAGCACTGGGGCTCTGCCACCTCCTGCTCAGAGTCCAGGATGCAAAGGAGGGCGAGGCAGGCAAGACTTCAGGACAAGGCAGCCGTGGCAGGGAATGGACTGTTGGGATGGTTCGTGGAGGAACTGGAACACCCTGGGCCTTGCAGAATGTACCGGGGCTCGGGAGCTGGAGGAGGACAGAGGGCCGTGAGCAGAGGCAGGAACTCAGCAGCGGAGGAGGGGCTCTGGGCCTGGAGGTTGGAGGGACAAGGAGGCCAGACTGGTCCAAGGAGCTTGGACAGCTGGGGAGGGCCTGTGCTCTGACTCGTCAGGCAGATTTCCAGTCAGAACAGGCCCGGTTCCATTCTTTATTGGTCCTGATGAGGCTCTGTGTGGTTCTGGAAAGATCCTGATCAGGTTGAAAGTAGCCCCAAAACAAACAGTTGTAAAACAAGCCCCACTGCCTTTGGCATTACTAGAAAGCAGCCCCAGGAAGGCAGGACGGTGTGGAGAGGGCAGGTTGGGGCCCACGTGTGGGGGCAGGTTTGGCCTGAGAACAGGCGCGAGGCTGTCTGTCCTCAGTGTTTCGTGTGCCCCGAGCAGAGGGGTCAGAAATGGCTCCTTTGCCCTCAACCTGGGAGAAGAATGGGGGCCACCCCATTCCCAGGAGCTACCTTCTCTTTAGAGCCCTGGGGTCACCTGACTGCAGAGAGGGGCAAATTCTGAGTTCTGTTGATTCTGATTTATTCATTCAGCAGATGTGCATTAGGTGCTGCTCTCTGCACTGTTTGTGGAGGATGGTAGCACAGTGCCAGAGGCAGACGGAGTTGCAGCCCACGCATGCCCAGGAGGAAACCTGTGCCCAGGACCCGGGGCCAAGGAGTCCCCACCGCGGGTGGTCTGCAGTTACAGGAAAGCCCTTGTGCGTCAGAGCCCCTGGGTCCACGTGCCTGGCTGTGCTGCTCTAAATTTTACAAAATCTAAACACCGACTAGGCATTTCTGATGAAAACAGCACCAAACACAAATGTGCTATAAGCATAAAATAGGCACATGATTTTGAAGACTTACTATGAAAAACATAATGTAAAATATCTCACTAGTAATTTTCATGTTGGTTGTGTGTTGAGATAACATTTTGTATTAATTGGATTAGATAAATTATTAAAATCTATTTCACTTTTTTTTTTTTTTTTTTTTTACTTTTTAAAAAGTGTGGCCACGAGGAGAGTTTAAGTTACGTGTGTGGTACGTGCCGTTGCGTCGCCCCCGACTCCTGGCGACCCTGTGGGTGCTCGAGGAACCCGCGCCCCTTCCCAGCAGCCCCTGTGGACTCAGGCTTTGGGTGAGTCAGTCCCTCTCGAACCTGGTCTCCCTCTTCCCCTGATGCCTTCTGTTTTCGAACCTGGTCTCCCTCTTCCCCTGATGCCTTCTGTTTTCGAACCTGGTCTCCCTCTTCCCCTGATGCCTTCTGTTTTCCCAGCAAGTTCGTCTCTTCCAAGAACCCCACCTTCTCAGGGTGTGCCCGAGGAGAACAGCTTCAGTTGCACAATTTTTGCCTCCAGCGAGGTTCCTCCATCGGCGTTTCAGGCCTAATGTGCCCTGGGCCTCACGTGTGTGTCTTTCTGGCAGTCCGGGGCGCCCACAGAGCCCCCTCCAGCACCCCATCTCCGATGACTTGCCCTGCTACCAGCCTCCTTCCCCGGGCCACTCTCACATCCACACACAGCGATTAGGATGCAAGCATCTGGATGGGCTGAGCCTTGGTCTCTAACGACACTTCTTTGCTCTTTCTTAAAAGAAGAGTTTGTTTGTTTTTTAGAGAGGGGGAAGGGAGGGAGAGAGGGAGAGAAACATCAGTCGTTGTGTGAGACATACACTGGTTGCCTCTCGCACACCCCCAGCTGGGGAGCTGGCCTGCAACCAAGGCCTGTAGCCCAACTGGGAACCCACTACAGACCTTTCTGTTTCCAGGCCAGCACTCAGTCCACTGGGCCGCACCAGCCAGGGTGACCCATCTTTGCTCTTGATGCTCTTTCCTGATTCTTCCTCTGCTGCCCTTCCAAGTCTCAGCCCCCCTGGATTTCCTCGCTGCAGTCTCCATTCGAAGGCAAGCACCATCTGGCTCATGTTATGTTTCTCTAGTGTTCACTTCAGCAGCACATGTCCATTCTCTTTCTCTTGGACTAAATGTTAAAAAGAAAACTAACCTTCTCATATCTTATTTTGATTTGTAGAGAGAGGGGGAGGGAGGGAGAAAGAGAGAGCAAGAAACATCGATGTGAAAGAGAAACAGCGATTGGTTGCCTTCCGTATGCACCCCAGGGGACTGAACCCATAACCCAGGCATGTGCCCTGACTGGGAATTGAACCAGCGACCTTTCAGTTCATGGGGCAATGCCCAAACACCTGAGTCACTCTGGCCAGGGCAGAAAATTAAGTTTCTAGAGGATAATTCATAACTTTGGGTCAGGGAAGGATTTCTTAAACAAGATACAAGAAGCTGTAGCCACAGAGGGAAGGAGTAATACATTCAACTCCGCTCACAGGAAGAGCTCCTTGCCCGAGCAGAAGGACAAGCTGTGGAGTGGGGAGCAACACCAACAGCTGACAAAGGCTGTTCGTCCAGAAAACATAAAGAACTCCTGAAGCAGAAGACAGCCCCATAGAGAGACTGAGAGGCATGGACAGGCACGTCACAGAAAAAACATGGAAGCCACAATGCCATTTAACCTGTTGGAAATGTAAAAACACTCAACAAGGCCAATTTCGCAAGTTCAGGAAACAATGTCATTACCGGCAAGATCGAGAGTGTACACAGCCACTACCCCAGCAACTCCACTCCTGGGTGTACACTCACATCTCTGTTCCAGAGATGCTGGTGCGCATGTGCATACGCATGGGCAGAAGAGTGGGTTCGCGAGAGCCCAGAAATGGAAGCCCCCGGACCGTCCTTGAGGCAGGAAGGTGGACAGCGCGTGCAGAGCGAAGCGCACACTCAACAGAATCACGCTCGGACGGTGCCTCACAGTGAGTCTCAGCTGAGTCCAGTGTGAGCCCCACTGTGTGATGCTCCCAGCTGTGCAAAAACAAGCAATACGATTGTGTGTGGTAGGACTACACAGAAAGGCAAGGCAATCACACAGTGGAAATGCAGCTCCTGGTTACTCAGGAGGCATAGGTGTGGCTTGCCTGGATCTTGGGGGTCACCACGTCCCACTTACTGGTTTTGAAACGTGCGTAGACATTGGATGATCTCTTCTTGAGCATTTGAAGGAGCCAAGATTTGCATAATAAAAATGCCAGTAAGTTTTTGAAAAAGTAAATGGGCCATGAAACTACAAATCAAAGGCAAATTCAGAAGTGCTACTATCGGGTGTTGGGGAGAAGTGGGCCAGCACTGAGGGCTGGGGGGTGGGTGGAGGGAGGCTGTGGGAGACAGGAGTTTGTGAACTAGGAGGGACGAGCACAGTGCGGGAGGGCAGGCACCGCACTCCTGCTGCGGCAGGAGAGGAGTGGACCTGGGGCAGTCCTGTAGCTGGGACGGGGCCCTGGTCTGTGTTCCTGGGAGGGAGGGTGCATGCTTCCAGACTGTAGATGCAGAAGGTGAAGCTTATGTTCTTCCACATTCTCCACCCACACTGAGCTTCTAATCAGGTGAGGGGGTGGTGAGGGGAGAAAGGAGCTTCATGGACACACACAGGCCTGCCAGCCCCACTCAGCCCATCTGCGTGCTTCTCTC